TGGAGGAGTTGCAGCCCTCCTGTGAAAGCCAGGGCTGGACACACAGATGGGTTTAAGGCATCTGGGTGGTGTTGGCCTCCTGCACCTCTGCTGGCTTCTTCCCCCACCAGCAGCAGCAGTGCCTGTGGAGTTCTCCTCTCTGTGTCAGCTCCTCGAGGGCTGCATCCAGCTGTCTGTGCCAGTGTGGTTTGGAAATGAGTTAGTGCAGTGGCTCTGGTGCTCTGCAGGGGACACCAAAATGCAGTGTGGTGACATCTGCTTGGCCTGGCGTTTCTTGGTGTGATGGTTTCAAGTGTGAAGCAGTAAATGTAAGCTGAAGTGCAGTCTGAGACACTGTGCAGCATTTTGACTTGTTTTGGGCTGTTGTCATGCCAGAGGAAGACACGTGGCTTAACACCACGAATGTGCATCACTGAATCTTTCATTTAAACTTCCTTTTCTTTATCCCATTCAGTGCGTTTCCTGTAATAAATCCTTCAAGAAGCTCTGGTCCCTCCATGAACATATCAAGATCATCCACGGATATGCAGAAAAGAAATTCTCTTGTGAGATCTGTGAAAAAAAGTTCTACACCATGGCCCACGTGCGGAAACACATGGTTGGTGAGTTATTGATCAGCACTTTCTGGTGGTTCTGCCTCATCATGGGCCTTTGTGGTTCTTAACTCATAATTGCTGTTTTGAGGAGGAAAAAATAAGGGAAATTCAGTTGTCTGAGCTTTGTCCTTAGCAAGAAGCTCAAGTCTAGCACTAGGCAGCAAGCAAATGATGTGTGTGTGTGTACACATATATGTATAGACTTTGAAGCTGTTCAGTAGTAATAGTTTTCCTACTCAGAATGGGAGGAAAAAAATGGTTAAAGAACTGTTTGCATTTGAGTGACCCTCTCTGATGTCCTGTTGTGTTGCAGCACACACCAAGGACATGCCATTTACATGTGAAACCTGTGGAAAATCCTTCAAGCGCAGTATGTCCCTGAAAGTCCATTCCCTACAGCACTCTGGAGAGAAACCTTTCAGATGTGAGGTGAGGCAGCAACTGCTCGTGTGTTTAGCTACAGCAGCATAAGGTGTAAAATTAGTAACACTGTCAGCAGGGGATGTAGGTGGAAATGGAATTGCCTGACTTGTAAATGAGGTGCAGTTGAATAAAAATTATGGGGAAACTCTTCTCAGTGTGGAGAGCACAGTGGGAGTGGATCTAGCAGCACTTCCAGCTGAGATGTGCTTGCTGGTGAGAGTGTGTTTGGGATGGGGGAAGAGTTTCTCAGCATTCACATGGGTTTGGGATTGTAATTTTATGCCTGCCCCTGGGAAGGAGACTGTAATGGGCAGGCTTGCCCAGTCATATGTCTGGGGCAGATAATGTCTCAGTCATCTGATGGGGATGCTTGTGGGTATCACATGATGGAGGCAGAGGGGGTGCAGAGCCCTTCCCATTGCCAGAGCAGGTCTGCTGGCTCCCCTTGCCCTCAGAATAGGGCACAACTCCAGGCAGACATGTAGGACTAACGGTGGTAGTGCAGTCCTGGGGACAACACTTGTAGGGAAAAAAAAAAATAGCTGGCAAACAGCCTGGCCTGCTGCAGAACAAGCCTGCTGTCAAGCTGGAGTCGGGTTTGCTGTGTGAGCAGAGTCCTCTAGTGGAGACACTGCACTCCAGCAGAAATTGCTGGCAAAGCTGCAGAACCTCCAAATGATACTGTAAGCTCTCAGAAGCACTTTCCCCTTGGCAGAACCATGTCTCTGCTGGGCTCTTGCCAACTGCTGTGGCAAGGAAAGGTTGTGACTGTTCCATGCTCCTTGCCAAGGCTCTTGTGCCAGCAGACCTTTTAGTGCAGACCAAATTCTGCTCTGGCTAAATAATTTAAATTGTGCCTTTGTGTGAGGGTCTGTGTGTGTGCTGCTGCAGGTGCTCTCTACTCCTTCACATGGGTGGGTGGCCAAGAAGGCCAACAGCATCCTGGCTTGTACTAGAAATAGTGTGGCCAGCAGGACCAGGGCAGGGATCATCCCCCTGGAGTCAGCACTAGGAAATTTGCATTAGGGAAAATTTCTTCACAGAGGTGGTGATCAAGCATTGGAACAGGCTGCCCAGAGCAGTGGTGGAGTCCTCACCCCTGGAGGGGTTTCCAAGCTGTGGAGACGTGGGGTGAGGGACACGGGGCAGTGGGGACCTGGCAGTGTTGGGGGACGATTGGGCTCCAGGATCTTGAAGGTCTTATCCAACCAAAGTGATTCCATGATCCTGTAGTACCTTCGAGTGCTGTCCCAGGACTGCCTTGTTCCCTGATGTGTGATCCCTGAATCTCATGAGTTGCTC